AGGGTTTTACTGCATCTTACACACAGAAAAACATGAGAACATTTATTTAAGTCTTTGTACACAAAAATCTGTTTTTTTGGAGTGATTTGTAGTAGCAGCCGGTCGAAGATGTTCTATATGGTCATTTAGTTTTTGTAGCAAGTCATTCATTCTTCAGATTGTTGCTTGCAGAAGGCATAAAGAATTGTCCTGGAAGATGTAAAGTTTGACCATACACAAGTTTGGCTCAAGAGCAGTAAAATTTCTTTTTTAAAGCAGTCTGAAGTCCTAAAAGAAATGAAGGTAATGCAATCGTCCAGTGTACAGATGTATGACACATTATAGACTGTTTAAGCCATCTATGCCATCTTTCAATGATTCCGTTGGCTTGTGGGTGGTATGTGGTGGTATGAGAAAGGCGAATACCAAAGTTTTTAGCTAGTTCTCGAAAGAGTTCACTTTGAAATTGACTACTATGATCGCCAAACATTTTTGGCGAGAAACTCCATGGTGCCACATCACTATCTCAATTTTTTTTTCTACATTTCGAATTTAAAGCTTAAAATGTCTCCATAAACGCAGTTTTTGCACATGCAAAATCCACTCTTTGACCACACAATTTAAGCTAAAAGTCCGAAAAAAAAAAAATTTAAATAGCAAAAACGTAAAGTTTCTAACCAAAAATTATTTGACAAGAGTCCATGTACACAGCAATATGTTTTAACTTAAAAAAAATCTACGAATTGCACAATTTTGGCAACAAACGAATCTATGAACTACGCACACCTCACTTTAATAAATTAACATAACAACAATAAATTTCAAAGAATACCATATACATAGCATCCTGTTTAAACTTTAAAAAAAATCTATGAATTGCACAATTTAGGCAACAATCGAATCTACGAACTACGCACACATCGCTTTAATAAATTAACATAACAGCAATAAATTTCAAAGAATACCATGTACATAGCGTTCTGTTTCAACTTTAAAAAACATCTACGAATTGCACAATCTAGACGCTACACACTAATCAACAAAATAAACTAAAATAACTAAAATAATTTTTAAACAATTCAAAAAATCAACAATAATGACAGAAATTCATACTAACAAAACAATGAACATAACATTCTACAAAATAAGAACAAGAATAAAATAAAATGCACTTACCATGAATTAATGCTTTTTCGAACAGCAAAAACATCAATTCCATACTGCCTTTAGCATGCCGCCACGTAATCACTATCGTATTTATATAATAGCCAGACATACTATCCAGAAAATTCATACTCTGTTCACAAATAAATAAAATAACAAATAATCACAAATCCCTACTTCTATCATGCACAGCGACTAAAAATACTCTCCCCAGACCCTCTTTCCACACCTCCAAATACCCACTGCCTCTCAACAGGATGGCCACGATGATATTTCATTTTGCCGAACTTCAATTCAACAACTTCAACGATTTTATCTTTCCCCTATCTTCTCAGACACAGAACATGATGCGAACTAACGAGCTCCAGCGAAAGATTTTTCAATGTCAACAGGGTTGCCATACAACACGCAATCATGCCAAAAACAAGCGCAGAACACATATCGCCACATTTGGTGAAATTAGGGTGTATATCAGAGTTGTACCACTTCTTCGATATGAAGCACAAGTTCATCGAGGGATGATGAAGTAAATAAAATATCATCTACATATATGAAACAGAAATTTAAATCTGATAGAATTTGATCCAGTAATCTTTGCATGGTTAGCACAGCATTACGTAAACTAAATGTCATGTAGTTAAACTCAAATAATCCGAAAGAAGTAACTATTGCCATTTTTGGTATATCCTCTTCATTCACTGGTACCAGGTGATATGCCTTCTTAAGGTCTGATGTTGAAAAAAGAATTTTATTGCTCAAATTGGATGTAAGACCATGCAGATGTCTAACTGGATAATTATCTGGAATAGAGATTGAATTTAATTTACGATAGTGCCCGCAAAGCCGCCAAGACCCATCCCATTTTTTACCATGTGCAGAGGACTACTCCAGCAGCTTTTAGAAGGGCTACAAATGCCTTTTTTTGCACTAAACAAGTGAATTCTGCTTTTGCGACAACTAATTTGTCAGGCACTACGTGCCTAGCCTTAGCTGCTACTGGAAAACCTTTAGTTTCGATTACCGTGTGTAATACCAAGAGTATTCTTATTCAAAGGCTCTTTTAAAACATCTTGAAACAGAGAATCATATTTTTAAAGCAAATCATTAAATACATGTAATGGTTGTAAAACTGTAATTTTGGGTACAGTATCTCGGGATATCTTACCATCCGATTCAATGTTAGTCTTGCTGTCAATTATTTTTTTAGATTTCAAATTAACAATAATGCCATAATTATTTAAAAAGTCTGCGCCCAAAATTGGTCGTGAAATATTAGCAATAGTAAAAGTCCATGGAAAAATTCGGCATAGACCTATGTCTAAATTGACTAAATGTTTTTTTTCCATATACATCCATTTTGGTACCATTTGCTGCAATTAAATTGAGCAATGATGTTTGTTTACATCGGTCTTGTAGAGTAGGAGGCAAAACAGATAATTCAGCTCCTGTATCAACCAAAAAATGTGTTCTTAAAGATTTTTCATATACATATTTTGGCCTATGGCGTTCGTCTGAGTAAAATACTTTGAGTAAAAAAAATAAACTGCAATGAGTAAAGTATTTTCAATAATAAAAATAAAGACTGCAATAAATCTTTATTTGCTTTCTTTTTAATACAAGAACTTTTTGTTATTTGAGAAGACTGATCTTTATGTGTTTCAAACATCGCAAAGCAGCTCTAGATTTTTCCTTGTGTTTTGATAAAATTTGTATTCTCTCTGACTTTTCAAATCAGTGAGAAGCTCTACAAAACAGCTTAAATGCTATACAGTTGAAAGTCATTAATTCGGACACCCATAACTCGGAATAATCTATAATTCGGACATCAAAGCTACAAACTTTCTGCCATGCGTCGCATTGACGCATGCACGTAAGACCTTTACAGCTGCAAATATGCGTGTGCGAATAATACGTTTACGCATGCGCGTTTAATGTGTAATGGATGGTATAAGCTAAGCTAAAATTATCTAATTCAGTTAATGTTGCAGATTGCGTTGTTCCTTAATCTTCAAATTGGATCCGGCTTATTATTTTTTGCAGACTGTTAGAGCACTTTTATAAAAGTAAGCTTGAACTTTCGATTATGTCAAATAGAATTTCCGATATATACAGTCAAAAGTCGTTAATCCGGACTCGTCGGGACTTCGGCGATTCCGGATTATAGATCATCAGTTTAAATCTCGTAAGATGGCATGCAGAAATTCTAAAATTAAAAATATGAAACCGTAATTTATGAAATAAAGAACAATTATGATCTAAAGGGGTATCAAAATTTACAAAAAAAAAAAAAAAGCTTAATATTTATTTGTTTACTTTATTAAACATTTTTCTCAATGTAAGTTGTTTAAGTTGCTTCCTTTTATGTGATAATACTTTCTCTTTAATTCTATAAAAAGACATAACTTCTTGTTCAGTTACAAAGCTCCGCTGTTCAAGTCCCGTTAATTGCTGTGCCGAGAATACCGACTAACTTGTCAATCGAAATTTTTTTGTTTTCACTAACCTCTCTGTCACATTCTTCATGTCTTTATCCATTTTTTGCAGCAATTCCACTTTTTGTTTGTTGGACATCGAAACATACTTTCGTTTTGTAGATCCTTTGGAAGTTCCAGCATTGGAAATTCTATTTGACATAATCGAAAGTTCAAGTTTACTTTTATAAAATTGCTCTTACAGTCTGCAAAAAATAATAAGCGGGATCCAATTCAAAGATTAAGGAACAACGCAATCATTAACATTTACTGAAATAGATAATTAGATAATTTTAGCTTACACCGTCCGTTATACATTAAACGTGCAGGTGAAAACGTATTCTGCACTTGCGCACACGCATATGCGCAGTAGTCAAGGTCTTACGCACACGTGTAAAACGCCTGTGCGCATGTGCCAACGCCGCGCATGTGCACAAAGTTTTTAGCTTTGAAGTCCGGATTACAGATCATTCTGGATTATGGGTGTCCGAATTAACGACTTTTGACTGTATTTACTAATATGTAAAGGATCTACAAAGCGAAAGTATGTTTTGAAGTCCATTAAACAAAAAGTAGAATTGCTGCAAAAAATGGATAAAGGCATATCCTTTGTTTCTCTAACCATTCCGAAATCTGTTTATCAATTTCACGCTGCTCTGCATGGGGGTGGGGGGGAATGTCGCGGCGCGCAATGAATTGGAAGTTGATCTGTCAGCACTATCCTTATATTCAGGGCAGATGTTTTTATTTTATTTGGCTTATAATTCCTTACTAAATGTAGTATTTCATCTCGATGTACTCCGTCTTTGTTATGATTTAAATCAAATTCTTCGTCATTATAATTCGCTTCCGATAGTGAAGAAAGTGACACAGAGGTTATTGAAAACGAAAAAATTTCGATTGACAAGTTAGTCGGTATCCTCGACACAGTAATTATAGGACTTGAACAGCGGAACTTTGTAAGTGAAGAAGAAATTATGTCTGTTTATAGAATTCAAGAGAAAGTATTAGAACAAAAAACGAAGCAACATAAACAACTTACATTGAAAGAAATGTTTAATAAAGTAAACAAATAAATATTAAGCTTTTTTTTTTTTTTTTTTTTTTTTTTGTAAATTTTGATACCCTTTAGATCATAATTGCTCTTTATTTCATAAATTACGGTTTCATATTTTTAATTTTATAATTTCTGCATGCCATCTTACCAGATTTAAACTGATGATCTATAATCCGGAAAAATTGATAATCCGGAATCGCCGAAGTTCTGACGAGTCCGGATTAACGACTTTTGACTATAAAAATTATGAATGTGAACTGCATGGATTTCTATTATACAGGTAAAAGATGATACGTTTCAAAACATTACAACATACCTTCAAAGGATACTAGTACCAAAAGAGGCTGTCAGTATTAAAGAGAGAAACACCCGTAATCTTGCAATAAATAGTGAATTTAGCAGAGGGCATACATAATGAGAAATTACAGTCTGTGTCCAACTATACAATGCAGCAGATCCAAATGCAATTAAAGCACCAGTCATATGAACAATTATAACTGAAGTTTCCTGCAAAAACAATATTAATATTTTTTTTTTCAAAACTATTTTCCTCAATTTTTTTTAATGAATTACTGTTAATGTAAATTATATAATGTAGTATATTTCATTTTACTGTTGAAATCTGCTTTCAGATCTCAAAATTTTTAGAGAATGAAATAAACACAAATAAATTTAATAGGTATTATTTGATTTTCACAGCTGCTGTGATAAACCACCAATTATGTAACAAACAGTACTCTCATGAATTTTGCGAACCATGTGATATTGTTATTCTTTTCAATTTTAACATCATACAAAAACTGCCACCAAATTATTAAAAAAATGGTGCTTTAAATTTTTATTTGCTGAATTTGATGAAACATTTGATATTATAACAGTTTTTTACAGTTTAAACACTGTAAAAAAATATTGCCAACTTATGTAAAAATGGTACTTTCGACTTCTGCTTACCAAATTTGACAAATTGTGTGTTATCGTAACAGTTTTTCTTCAATTTAAATATAGTAAAATAATGTTGACAATTTTTAATTTACTGAGGAGTAAGAAAGATGGCTTATCTTTTCCCCAGGAAAAAATACATTACCTCACAAATTAAAATGCCTAAATGACTACAGAATGAAACTATACATAAAACAAAAGTAGGTAGAGGTGAAAAACCGTAAAAAAAATAATAAATAAAATAAAGTTATAAATTTAAAAAAGTCTGAATGTTTTCAGATTTTACATTACGCCCAAAGGTTCGTTTCTTTAACATTTTGTGTTGTTACCTTTATTGATTAAATATCATGTTCTTCGCACTTAAACCATAAAAAAGTTCAACAGCAATATTGCAAAATAATTTTAAAATGAGCATATCTTCAGAATTTTTGATTGAGCACATGAGACACTCTCTCATGTGCTGGAGATAAAACTGTTTTTTTCCGTACAATGTTACCACAGCTCGCTTTAAAATCATTTTGTTAATAAAAAATTATTAAAGTGTTATAAAATATTAAATTGATAAGAAAACAAATTCCAAATTCATGCTTCCAGATGCCCATATTCAGTAAAAGATTACGTTATTCAAATTTGATGGCTCTAGGTATCATTGTTTTATCACAATGCAAGAAACATATATACATTTATGCAGATTCTTTATTATTTAATTTCTTTAAATATAACACAGGGCAATATTATTTGGTAGCAACAATTTGAAAAATGATTCACCATTTATAGTGAATCGACACAAAATGCCAAAATGAAATTAATAGCTCTTCTGGGCTAACGCCCTTTGGGCTAAAAAAAATTTCAATCTGATAACTGGTTTGTGGGTCTTGGAATACTATTACTTACAGTGCTGCGTTTCATCTACTCTTAGGCAGAGGAACTACCATTGCTTAAGTGGTACGATAAACAGTTCAGCATCTGCCAAAACTGCATGACTAACAGGAAAAATTTTATGAGTGAGATTTGTTAAAGACATTTACTTCAACAACCTAAAGGACAAAGAGGTGACCCTGGTAAAATAGTCAAAATTGATGAAAGCTTTCCTGTGCAATGAAAATGTGGATATTTGGTGGGTTATGCTGTGAAAGCGCGGCGAAGGCTTTCTTGTTCAGGTTAAAAATTGAGAAGCAAGTACACTGATATCAGCGACTGTAGATCACATAGTGGAAGAATCAATAATATCTTCAGATTACTGGTAAGCTTATAAAACATATGAGCTGAATTCTGAATCATACATTTAATTTCGTTGATCCAACAATGGGTGCTCGCACCCAAAATGTGAAAGCTATGTTAAATGGCGAAACAAAAAGCAAAGGGGTTGAACAGGCTGGCTACATGGTTGGTTTTCATGGTCTTCCCCATGTGTATTGTGAATATGTGCCAATTCCCCATAGAAAGTTTTTTGCAAAATGTATACCTCTCCTCAGGCAGATCATTTTTGTGTGCTTTGCCAAATTCAAATAACCTAACTTTGCCCAATCATTACCCTAAAATTCTTCTGAATTCTCACATTTTTTTATGCTGCTGGAGTTGTATCTTTCTGAATTGTACCCTTTTAGAAAGAGAAGCTTTTTGAGGCCATATTACAAGCAAGTGCAAAGATACAGCAGCTATAACATATATGCATGTAGTTTAAACTTGACGATAACTGTGGCACCATTTTGATAACAGGGGCTGTGAAAATCAAGTCATACCATTTAAAATCATAAAATACTTTAAAATTACAATCTTATGTTACTGTTTTTATTACCTGAAAGTTTGCCAGAATGCTCACTCCAAGACATCCAAACCATCCAATTGCAAGTGAAATTCTATTCAACTTTAAAACTACAGTAAATTCTGATGACAAAAAATCTCGATAATGCTGCTCCACATGTTTATATCTCAAATACATGAAAGCTGCCACTAGGTTAAAGAATAATTATTACTAATAACTAAAACTTAAATATATCTCAAAATAATGTATTGGCAGTAAGTCCATTCTTTATTACAACATATAATTTAAGCATATATATACAACTCCCCAACAGAGAATCACTTCAGTGACTTTTAAAATTAAGAATATTAACCAAAGCAAATATACACTACCTGACTCAGAAAATGCAACACTATGAAAGATTGGTTAGAATGTAATGTTAATTGATACAGAGACACAGCATGCTCAAGTGATGTTATTTATAGAAAGATAAATTTACACAGTACTGAAATATACAGGGAATCAGTACGATGTATGACCACCTCTTGCAGTGATGCAAGCTACAACTCTACAAGGTATAGATTCAATTAGTTTGCAAATAGTGTCCTGAGGGATGGAAGCCCATATGCCCTAAACCCTCCCATGAAGTTTGCCCAGCTGGGGCAGAGCAGAAAAATGATGACCAATCATGTCCCAAATATGCTTGATTGGCAAAAGATCAGGAGACATCGAAGGCCAAGGAAGCAATGGGACATGCTTCAAGGCTTGTCGGCTAATGAATGCCATTTGCAGTGCCACGTTGTCCTGCTGAAAAATACCATTTTACAGCCACTGAAAGTAAGGCACAACCACATCAACGTATTGTTGTGCTTCCAGTGTGCTTCTGATGAATAACAGAGCTGACCTACTATCATGACCGACGGCTCATCAAAGGATTATGGCGTGCTGATGAGTGGGGTGGCATTCAGCAATAGTAGTCAGATTGGCACCTCTTCAGTGCCTCCAGACTCTTAACTCGTGACTATAATCAGACAAACAAAATTCAGACTCACCGCTGAATACCATATTTTGTCCTTCAGATGTCCTACTGCCTTGTTTATGACTCCACAACAGTCTTTCGTGTCGATGGTTTGGCATTAATGGCAATCTTTGCAAAGATGGTTTGTGTGCAAGCCGCTTTCCATCAAACATCTGAAAACTGTTCTCCCAGTTATTGGGGTATTCAAAAGCTCCCTGCACATTCTGCAAAATGTCCTCTAACGTGGGGCTGCCACCACTTCTTTTCATACGCGTTGATCTGTGTGTTCAGTAGTACGTCTAGATGGACCTGGTTTTCATAACTACTTACATTTCCTTCATTGATCCATCTAGACTAAATTCTATGGGAGATTATTTGTTATTTTATTTGAGTGAATATATCTACATGCATTTCAGCAACAATGCAAGTGGAAGACCACCAGCTGTACAAAAGCCTACAATCCGAGTATGTAAAACTGTCCATTTGCTGGAACTGCCTAAGGCATCTCGTCATTTACACATCTTCTAGAATGTTGAAATTCTCAAAATTCTGGATTCCCTAAGCAGTAGATAGTAGCGACTGTTGGTTTGTTAGCCATTTCCTTCTGTTTTATCTTCTGCTATAATCACATGACCAACTTGCATCTTATATCATCTGCATGATTTTTTCTATTACGTACTCACCAAAATTTGCAAATTTGTTTATTCAGCCAAATGTTCATGGTGTTGCATTTTCAGGTACAACTCTGATATATGCCCTAATTTCACCAAATGTGGCGATATGTGTTCTGCGCTGGTTTTTGGCACGATTGCGTGTTGTATGGCAACCCTGTTGACGTTGAAAAATCTTTCGCTGGAGTTCGTTGGTTCCCGTCATGCTTTGTGTCTGAGAAGCTAGGGGGGAAAGATTTAATGGTGAAAGTTGTTGAATTTTAAAGTTCGGCATAAGGAAATATAGTCGTGTTGATCGCCATCCTGTTGAGGGGCAATGGGTATTTGGAGGTGTGGAAAGAAGGTATGGGAGATTATTTTTATCGTATTCATGATAGAAGTAGGGATTTGTGATTATTTGTTATTTTATGTATTTGTGAACCATAGTATGAATTTTCTGGATAGTGTGTCTGGCTGTCATATAAATACGTTAGTGATTACATGGCGGCATGTTAAAGGTGGTATGAAATTGGTATTTCTGCTGTTCGAAAAAGCATTAATGGTAAGTGCATTTTTTTTATTCTTGTTCTTATTTTGTAGAATGTTATGTACATTGTTTTTTTAGTATGAATTTCTGTCGTTATTGTTTTTTTTTTTTTTTTTTTTTTTTTTTTTTATTGTTTGAAATTTATTTTAGTTATTTTGTTGATTAGTGCGTACCGTCTAAACTGTGCAATTCGTAGATGTTTTTTAAAGTTGAAACAGAACGATGTGTACATGGTATTCCTTGAAATTTATTGTTGTTATGTTAATTTATTAAAGTGAGGTGCGCGTAGTTCGTAAATTCATTTGTTGTCTAAATTGTGCAATTCGTAGATTTTTTTTAAGTTGAAACAGGATGCTGTGTACATGGTATTCTTTGAAATTTATTGTTATGTTAATTTATTAAAGTGAGTTGTGCGTAGTTCGTAGATTCGTTTGTTGCCTAAATTGTGCAATTCGTAGATGTTTTTTTAAGTTAAAACATATTGCTGTGTACATGGACTCTTGTCAAATAATTTTGGTTAGAAACTTCACGGTTTTGCTATCTAAATTTTTTGTTTTTGTTTCAGATTTTTAGCTTAAATTATATGTTCAAAACGTGGTTTTTACTTTCGCAAAAACAGTGTTTTTAGAGACATTTTAAGCTTAAAGTTTGAAATGTAGACAAAAAATTTAGATGGCAATATGGCAGCGTGGAGTTTCTTGCCAAAAATATTTGGCGAGAAATTTGGCGCCTTGAGGGCGTATATCAGAGTAGTTCCCATTTTCTATCTCGGGCAATGCAACAGTAATGTAAATGTAAAAAAATAATAAAAATAAAATTCACATTAATGCACTATAATTCACCACGAAGATAATGAGCACACATATAATCAAATTAAGAAAATATTACTGCAAGGTAATATTAAAGGAGAGAAGATGTAATAAAGAGAAAAATATGATAAGTTAATAATAAATAAAAATGAATGGGATAGAGAGGGAGCAGACACCATAGAATGATGAAATATACAAGTTGCATCTGAAATTTTAAAATACATGATCATTCATAAAACAGTAAATGAAAATACAGAAAGGGTTAATCGAAATTACAGTAAAATTTAAGGCCTAAGACTACGTTATAATGCATACCGAATCCCATAATTTAAATGCAATTCCAAAATTAAAATATAATTAACACTCTCAGCATTACAGGCAGAAAATTCCATACAGAAGGGTGGCTTTCAAAATCACTACACGTGGAAATTTCTGCCAGCTCTTAATGTATCCGATTTTAGGTAAGATATATATTGGGAAAATAGAAATCAAAGTACAAAGTGAAAGCATGGATGACACACGCGTTAATGAATGATTGGATTAAAATAATTTTATACCCATGGCTCGGCAACTACCGGACGACGCAAAAATTGTTTTGATTTTAGATGATTGTTCATACTTCATATAGTTTTAATGACAGATAATGTATTCCTATTATTCTTTCCTCCAAATTTTACATCCATCATTCTGCCTATGGATATTGGAATAGTGCACACACTGAAATGCAAATATGAAATGCAATGTTAAAAAGATCGTGGGAGGATGTGTCTTCAGTTACTTTAAAAAATTCTTGGCATAATTTATGGCCAGCTACCATATTTCATGGTGAGGATAATGAAGATGATAGCTGCGAATTTCAAGGTTTTCGGATATTGCACACTTAAAGTGAAATTTTCCAGTTACTGGATTTTGTAAAGCAATGTGGAGAAGCGGTAATAAATGAAGATGATATAACAGAAGTTTTTCATTGCGATGACAATGCCTCAATCATCAATCAATTAATGGACAGCAAAATCGGTAGTATGGTTCTAGATCCAGAAAATATTGCTATTGATAGTGGTAACAGAGAGGTTATTGAAAATGAAAAAATTTCGATTGACAAGTTAGTTGGAATTCTCAACACAGCAATTACAGGACTTGAACAGTGAAACTTTGTAACTGAACAAGAAATTATGTATACTTATAGAATTAAACAAAAAGTATTAGCACAAAAAAAAAAAAAAAAAAAATGAAGCAACTTATACAATTTACATTGAAAAAAATGTTTAATAAAGTAAACAAATAAATACTAAGCCTTTTTTTTTTTTTTGTTAATTTTGATACCCTTTTAGAACATAAATGATTCATTATTTCATAAATCATGATTTAACATTTTTAATTTCATAATTTCTGCATGCCATCTTACTAAATTTAAATTGATGATCTAATATCCGGAAAAATCCAAAATTCAGAATCGCCGAAGTCTGAGTCCAGATCTCGACTTTGTATTGCATATATTTTTTAAATATTCACTATTAAAAAAAAGTACAATGGTCATAGTTATGATTCTGACAAGCATAAAATTATATTCATGCTTTGATATTGCTAAATCATGTAAAATGCATATAAATTACATATACAAATCTTACAGTGTAATACAAACAATTAGTATCTGTGCATTAGCAGGCACAAAATAATTCAACAGCATTTAAGAACAAAAGATATAATGAGCTTGCAGATGTGATTTTTCTGTACTTTCTGATTATCAGCACCCCCCCCATCAAAGTTGCGAATTTATTCCAATTTTGGACAACATTCACAAATTTGTTGGTGACTAATTTTTTGCCAAGCTAATCTGCAAAAGGCAGCAGTCCATTTGAAAATGACAGTATATTTAGAATTCCACACAAAAGTAGACAAACAAAATTAAAAAAGCAAGAAACACTGGTAACAAAATAATTACCTTTTTCCCAAGATATTTGTTTTCATTTAGACAGCAATCTGTTTTTAAAAAAATTAGAGAATTGTACAAACCGACTTTGAACACCAATTAAAACTGACATATGCTCGGGCTGCAACATAAATACTTTTTGCCAATATCGTGGGTTACCACATAACTATTTTGATGCTATATTGCTTTGCCTCGTGAATATTTTTTCATGGAGGATAAACTACTGCTTTTTCTTATCACCAAACAGAGTTGAAA